ACCCCAGGAAACAGAGAAAGGGTTGAGCAAAGGTGTAGCCCCTGCCAGTTGATCTCAGAATTAGTGATTTCTGCTTGGTGTGCTGGGCTGCACTGGGCTAGACATGCAAGGTAGATGGCATGCGGCAAGAAATCCAAATGAGTAGCTGAGTGGTGAGTCGAAGTGACATGCTGGAAGCAGGATGAGTGACAGGTGGTAAGGACACACAAAGCCCAACTTCCACAGGTGACACACAAATCTGGCATGCTGGGAAAGAGCATCAGGTGGAGCAACTAGGTGTGCTCATCAGGAAGGAGCTGGCGTTGAGCAATGATGCTGAGTGGGTTAGGAGGTGGAGAGGCATTGTGGCATACAGCGACAGGCCCTGCAAACTGTGGCTGCAGCCACAAACCAAAGGACAGTCTTCACATGCAGACAGTGTGGAAGCATACCCCCATACCTATAGAAAGGATCACTGTTAGATGTGCCAGCCACGACTGAAAGGTTAATGGCGACACTGGTTGATAAAACTAGAAATTAATGTAAAATTTGAAATGTATTTAACATGCAAACAGCTAGTTCAACAATTCTGACGTAGTGGTTTGTATTTTTAAGAGAGTTAGTTTTAGCAGGAGAAATTTTATTTTGTATCATGGGCTATGGCCACTTCCTGTCTATGGCGGTAACTATCCTGTGTTATAATGCCATTACCTTTCAAACTATTACTAACTCTCCATGACACTGAATAGTTGCTGAGCCTCCTGACACAGCATCAAAAATAATATCTGACTTCCTAAAACAAGACAATATTAGGGAGTTGTGCAAAAAAGTTGGCACCAGGATGTGAGCTCTCTGACTTAGGAGAAAGAGAACAGTGAATTCTGGGAGATTTGTAAGAAGATCACTAGAGTAGGGGAGACCTCGGGATACATGCTTAGATAGGAACATGGGGGCTATAATGTAATATATTTGTTCTGTTCATTTTTTTTTTTTTTTTTTTTTTTTTTTTTTGTGCCAGGCTCTTTCTACATAACTGAGTTTGGCCTCTAACTAGTGATCCTACAACTTTATCATTCTGAGTGTTAGGATTATAGGAAGGTATCACTATACTCACATTCTTAACTATATTTAAACAAAACAAAAGAACCTTGCCCCCTCCCACCCCCCCCCCATACACAGAACCAAACAACAAAGTTTTGGCTCAATCATGGGGAGATTTAAGTCTTCCTTGCTCATTGTTCCTATTATTTATGGAATTAGGAGAAATGGGCCTACCTTTCAGAAAAAGAGTTTTATGTACAACACACATGAGGTTTTGGCTCTACATCTTTGATGTCTCTTGACCATGACTAGTTTACAAAGAGCTCAGGTGAAAAGAAGGCTTTCAGTCAATACTTGTTGAATGAATGAAGAGACCCAGATATCCTACTCTAAGCAGTTCAAAACTAAGGCGTAGATAGGAGCCTGGGAGAACCCAGGCCACTAAGAGAAACCTAACAAGCAGACATAAATGAAAACAATCTTCTCCCAGTGCTGGCTTCCAGGGTAATCCTTATTCTATGCCTAAAACTTTCCACTCATCTATTTACTACTTTCTGCTGGCTTTCTTATGCAAACAACTGGCCTGGCTCCCCTAAGACGCTGTGCTGCTGATGTACTTAAATTCTTTCTTTGATTAGACCACCTGATGTGTGACCTACCCATGCTCTCTGTAGTTAAAACACTGGACTGTGGTAGGGAAATGTCTAGTTGCTAAGTGTGTGGTTTCATCTGAGTAATAAAGTTTTATACAACCCTGCTCAGACAGCATGGACAGTGGAAGGAATTAAAAGGAATTTTTTAGATGTGATATACTCATGCATAAAGAACATAGTTTTGGTCAGATTATATAATGGTCTTTGTAAGTTCCAACATGGAAGATATCTATGTCATTTTGCCTTCTAATGGAGCAAAACAATAAGCATGCTTCCAATACACTACACAGAGTGTGGCAAATCCTGGAGTGAACAGAACAAAATTATCCATGTGAATTAAGTATATCAAGCCTTTCATGGGGAATTATTCAATGACTGGACAGAGAGAGAGAGAGAGAGAGAGAGAGAGAGAGAGAGAGAGAGAGAGAGAGAGAGAGAGTGTCCAGCAGAAGTATATCACCAACAAAACAAGCTCATCAAAATGAGGTCTAGTCTTTCACATTCTGCCTCCCTTAACATCTACAATGATGCCTGGGCAATCTTCCAAAGCAACTTCTAGTCCTAAAGGTTTCTAGACTGTGTTACCATTAAAAGAACCAGCTATCAAACAGGTGCACTTGTTTTAGAGAAAAGACAGTGAGGCCTAATAGGCATCAATAGGCATTTCTATGACTCTGGCCATCTCTGCGCTATAACAATCAAGCAGAAATGTAATTTATTCATTAGGCACCAGAATATAAGTGAAACTCTGTGTTCAGTTATCAACTAGGCATTTCTTTTAATCTTATGCTATACTTTTTAATATTAATGTTACACTTAGTTTCTCTACTATTTGGTGTATGTAAATTCAGTACAACTCTAAAAAATAGTGCTTCCATTTTCCAAATCCCTTAGGGAACCTTTGATTTGTTTGGTCTTGGCTTGCTTCTTTGAGGCAGGTCTCACTGTGCTATAGGGGCTGACCTAGAACTTGTTTCCTATGGACACTTGGCCTTGAACTCTGTATTTTTTGCATCAGCCTCTTAAGTGCTGGAATTACAGAAGTGTGCTATTATGCCCTCTGAGAGACTCATATTAGACACTGATATTTATCTAAATTAAAGTAAGTTATCCGGAGAAAGTATTTAATAGCTGTAGTAGAATTCAGATGAGAAACATGACAAACTAAAGCCATTCTCATAATTACCAAGGTGTGAAAAATGTCCAAGATGGATGAAGTACATATAATGGGGTGTTGGCATTCCCCTTATACTCAATTCCTCAGGTGGATAACAGATAGGTTTTCAGACACTTGATTAAAAATTGAGGCCAGAGAATGGGGTGGGGACTAAGGTCTAGCAGGCCTCAGCAGAGGCTGAAAAGTAAACATAGGAGAAAACTCTCTGGCAAAGAGGACAGCTGGAGAATACCCCTAGTTGAGGCCAACAGAACCCTGACCCTGAATAGGTCCAGAGCTCCACAGAGTGCTTAAAGTGGCCTGTAAAGCATTCCTCCTCAAGCAGAGATTTCAGATGCTAGTGAGACAAGGAACGCATGGAACTGTAATCTAGAACTGCATGTAACAGAGCATGTGTGAAACAGATCAGGTTATGCGAATAAGTCAAAAAGTTCACACTATATGACAAACCCCTATTTGAGTCCTGAGCTCTCTCCCCGCCTGGCCTACTCCCTTTGTTGGAAGTATACCACCCCCCCCCCACCTGCCCCACTCCATAAACTGTTTCTGCTTCAGCAGCAGCTACGGCAGCGTTTGCTCAATTCTTTGTTCCGGTACACAATAGCCTAGAACCTCCCTAGGAGTCCCACCAAACACTTACATGAGCTGGTACCAAAATCACATAAAACATGTCATTTAGTTGAAGAATCAATTATTTTAAAACAAGGAGAAGATGATGTTCCCTGAATAACTAAATGGTGCATCTGTTTATTTGGCTTTAAAAAAAAATGTCTTTAACACATTCACAAGATTAGTTCTGTTCAAATTTTAGGCCAGGGGTAAAAGTGGGATGAATAGACTTAATAGTACCTTTGACCCTTGACACTGCTATCCATTTTTGCACTCTAAGAAATAACAAGAGGTTCCCCGAAGTAGAGGTAGGGCAGTGTGCACTAGTAGCATAAAGAATACATGTTAACAGTGTCAGTTAACTAAGAAGAAAAAGGTCAGCAAAGGTTACTGTCAACCATATCCTGCAACCATTTTCATTTCCTAAATTGTCCATATTTCTCCTTGACCTGGGATTTCCTGGTTCTTCACTCTATAGCATAAGTACATGTTTTTTTCTTCAGGACTTTAATGCCACCGAAAAAATTATAGCATTTAGTGACATTTGTGGGTAAGGTATTTTTAAGTTAAGATTTAGATAATTGGTTAATCACATCTTCCAATTCTTCAAAGCATTTATCTTTAAATTTTTTTTTGTTTTTGCTTTAAATATCTTTACCATTCTAATTCCTTTTGTCTGCATACTTTCTAGTGAAATGGACTCCTAAAAGCGAAGCTGCAACTATAAAGCTACAATAAAAACACAAAACTGCACAAGAAACTGAAGCAAAATTAACACTTTAAAACCAGCACCATGGTCAAAAGAAGTAGGGTAACTGGAAGTGAATATTGAGTGTGTTTCTGCAGAGATTTCAACAGCTAGAAAACTCTGGCAAACAAAATGAAACAGATGTCAAGAATATGTTAAGAAAGTATGTGAAACCTAGGCCAAAAGGCGTCCAAACAGAAAGCTTCCCTGGCATTTAATGGAATGCCATTCAAAGGTTTAAAAAAAAAAATACTAGCATATTTTCATACCACTTCCTTTGACTATTAATCTTGAATGTAGTCTTCTATACAAATTTTAGTGATATAACTAAAGCGCACATGTATTTTATGCTCTTTTTTGTTTACTTGTTTGTTGTTTTGTTTTTGTTTTGTTTGAGACAGGGTTTTTCTTTGTGGCTTTGTAGACCAAGCTGGCCTAGAACTCACAGAGCTCCGCTGGCCTCTGCCTCCCGAGTGCTGGGATTAAAGGCGTTTACCACCACTGCCAGAATATTTTACTGATGTGTTTAAAATTAGCCATCCTTAGATCCTTAGCTGTGAAGTCAACAGAATGGTTGCATAGATCACATCTTAAAATTTAAAACACATAAAATGTGAAAAACATTGATATAGTCATAGTGGTTCATTGTTCAGATTAATGTATTCATAAAAAATGAATTTCTTTTGGGATAAGCTTTTCTACAGTCTAAACTTACTGGTCACTTGGGACAAGCATGCTGTAATGGATGTGGAGGTCTAAGTTAGGGCTTCCCGGGTTTTTGACTCAAGCCTACCTTTCACATCTTCATCCTCAATCGTGGTGTTCGAGCTCTCAGTTGACTCCTGATAAGAAGAAAAGTCAGTGTTAAACGTCACACAAAAAAATTACTGATTCTTCTGACACACTTGTCTGGTGGTACATACATATCATGCAAATTTCTTCAGCAGGCTGTGTGCATATGCTGACATGCAAATGGACAAATAACATCAAGTGATTTCTCAACAGAAACAAGATGTCATATACTGCAAACATTTCAAAGGGAGGACTCTGGCCATCTAGTCACCGATGCCTGATAAATCCAGGTGATTTGTAGAAGTACAAGAAGTATGTAGTTTATTTAAAAATTGAGTAAGATGGCTTCATAGTACAGCGCAGACACTGTGATTTTGGGAGGAAAAATGGAGTATTTTAGGAGGATACACTGGCAACTTAGAATACATGATTTTGTGCTGGGCACTGTGTCGAGCATAGACTTTGCAACTGTGTGTCTACCCGCCATCTTTGTAGAGAAAAGGCATCTTCTCCATCATTTGATTCAGAAGCTGGGGCTACCAAGCTGAGCCAGGCTGACTATAGTTGTCAGAAACTGTTTCAGCTTTATATCTCAGGACACTGGAATCATAAAGAATAATTTATTTTCAAGGTCTGTTAGACTTTTCTTATTCTTTTCTAACTCAGAAACAGTCACTCAAAAGGAAATCTCTTGGTACAATGAAAAGACAAAGCTCTTTTGAAAACTCCAAATTAAAGTAAAGAGCAGCAAGCACTTTTAAAAGTGCACTTCAGCTGCTGGTGGTAAGATACGCTTCTTAAAGTAGTTTCGTTAAAATGTACCAGTGAAATGTATTCTAGCAAAGACATGTCTCAGTGTTTGTAAGTATTCATTTTCCGCTAGGAATTATTAAAGGTCAGAGCTGAAAAATAATTGACATCAAATTTCCAGTCAATAGTTATATGTTCAGTGAATGGAAAACAAGTTTAGGTAGATGATGATGATGATGATGATGATAATAATAATAATAATGTCAGTATTCATTTATAGATTTGGTATTTTTGGAAAACCATCTATTTATATAAATACCTTTTATAGTATTTAAACCGAAGATATAAACTAGCTACTGTCCAGAGTCTCCACACATACAAACCAAGAAAAAACAATCATGCATTTCTTTTATGTGATGTGGCATTCAGAATTAAACTTAAAATGAAGGTTAAACCCATGCACTTAAAAACAAATGAATTCATGTAAGCAATAAATACCATGCAGCAACTCTTACAAATGACAGAGCTAGAATTATGGCAGTGTCCGCTCCTGCTGCTTTTTATTTGATAGTACCATTAATGGGATTGTTCTCATATGTGCTGGCCCTGACTACCTCTTTTGGGACCCAGAACATCTCCAGGGTTATGACACTAATGTATTTCTCAGATTAAGACCACAAAACACTTTGTTTTTAATATGGGTTGGTGAACTATTGAACCAGAGGTGAAATATATTTCCTGATTTTTCAGCATTGTTGATTAGAGGAAAGAGGAGACCTGTGACTATATTCAGTACCTTAGAAAAGTCATGCATTTTTTTCTTTCCCTTAGATATGATAGTGCACAACAAGTTATAAGCTGGGCATAGAATACATTGAGAAAACGTCTCCTTTAATTCCTCAGACATGTGTGCAAGTCAAGTGTTGGTAGGAACATGGTATACACAATTTATAATAGGTAGAACATATTAGTCGTCATTCAGCTTAATATTTTACTATTATTATAATTCATATAGATAGACAACAAACAAATTTAACAAGAAATGGAACCCCCCGATTATCTTCAATTTCATGGCAAACAGTAAAACCACCAGCAATATCACCAGTGACAGGAGTATAAAAACAAGCAAACAACAACAACAACAACAACAACCACAACAAAACCACAGTGACAATAGAACAGAGACACATGAAAAGTTGAAAAACAACATTAAGCTTTAGGAAAAAAAAAAAAAAAAAACAAAGTTGTCATTTTTGAAGACAATGGAATGACAGCAAGAAATTCTGAAATTTCATGTTGTGGGTGTTCATCTCACAATGCACAGACAGGTACAGAGAAATAAAAAGGTCACAAGGAATTGCCTAAGGTACAGTCATCTCACAGAAAGACTGTAAATGTTGAATCTGACCCTCATCTTTTTTTTTTTTTTTATTCACTAACAGATCACCAATTTCTCCCTCAAGCTATCAAGCTATCATCCACTTCCATTTGAAAGGAGTCTATGTATAATTCTAGACTAATTTAGGCTCAAAAGAACACGTGATGATGACAAGAGGGACAATTTTTTTTCTTTCCCATTTGAGATAATGAATTGGTTTTGCACAGTGCGTTTGATGAGATGTGTAATCTTATCAAAGCATATGGTGTTGATTCTTTCTGATACCTTGTTTCCGTCAGGGTTGTGGATTACAGTAGTTTGGGGCTCCTGAGTGAGAACAAAATAAAGAAAGAAACAGTTCGTATTGGTAAGTACATTCTTACTAGTCTGTGGGACAGAGCAGAGAGAGCCAACAGACAAGACTTAATAGTGACAAAGGTAAAGCCATGTCAAGGACTGTCAACAGCTGACAGGATCTCTGAGGAGGCCTCCCTGTTGAGGCCATGAGATCACACACCTCCCTACCCAGAAGCAGCATGCAAAAGACGTTATTCCTGACAGATGAATGAACAGGCAGGGTTTTGCAGTTTGGAGACCTAAAGAGGCACCTGCTGGTTCACCAGGCCCTATGCCAGGCAGAGTTGTCCTTTCTTCTGTACTGAATACTCCACTGCTATCTGTCTCAAAAAAATTGGCCAAGATCACCGTAAATAGAAACATTGGAAACGACATCAAATTCTTTGTGAAGATATTTTTTCAGCTATATTACCTTGGGACTTTACTCTGATGTTATTATAATCAATGTATAGCTTAAAAGCAAAACAAGCTGGCCTTTGGCAGTACACGCCTTTAATCCCAGCACTCCACTTGGGAGGCAGAGGCAGGCAGATCTTTGTGAATCTGAGGCCAGCCTGGTCTACACAGTGAGTTCCAGGACAGGCTCCAAAGCAATACAGAGAAACCCTGTCTCAGAAAAAAATAAATAAATAAAAAATAAAAAAACCCTATAAAACTGTCCAAAACAATACATTTCAAAGCTCATGAAAAAATTTTAAGAGTACTTAAAAAGCGTATTTAACTATTTTAGAACTAATTGTAATGTGCTATTATTATAAATACTGTGAATACATCCTATACTAATCACGTGGAAAGGAAAACTTCTATTTTATGAACTTCATTTAAAGAATAGTAAGCTGTTATGAAGAAACTATAATTTTCATATAGCTCACACAGCTTGCTATGAGAAATATTATTTGGTGGAAAATAATATTCAAATACTTATGTAAAAAAAGATAGACTGAGTACGCACACAATGACAGCATGCTTGTTGCATCCATACTGGGTACGTTAGCACCCATGAGTGGCCTTCTCTGCAGGTATGTTACCAATGGAAAGCCTGCAATCCACACTTAGAAAAACATAACTGTTGCTTCTTTTCTTTCCTTCAGTGGCCTGAGCTGTGACACTGGCCTTATTAGTACATAACCTGCCATCATTTTGATCCCTTTTTTTCTTACCCATTTTTTAAGAAAACTTTTTTTTTCCTTCTAGGGCTATGCATTGAATCCCAGGGTTTCGCCTAAGTTAAGAAAATATTCTACCATTAAGTTATATTTTTCAACCCTGATAACCCTCTGTCTTGATATGTCTTTTCCTTCAAATGTTTTCAAATTGAATCTATTACTGGTTAACCCAAATAACATTCATGCCTAGCATTTTTTTAGGCAATGACGATAAGACTCTGGGGACAGTAATGAATAAAAGTAATTTCCTGGTAAGTCAAATTATGAAAACATTTGAAGAAAATCTTATATAATCCCATGTACTAAATGTCAGTATTCAAATTTTAAATTTTAACATAACACTATTCCAATGTGTAGAACTAACTGACTTAGTGTTAACTATGTTATATTTGATTGAAGTGGACAAAACTGTCACTGATAGTTTAAGCTTCTGTTATACACTCTCATTCTTTGGAAGAAAGTGACAGTTACAATTTAATTGGAAACACAATAAACAAAAAGCTTTGACTTATGCAGTGCCTCTTTATCTCAGAAAGTGAAGTATTGCAAAGCCATGTAGTCTTTCAGTAAGAGCGAAATGGGAACTCTGAATAAGGTCTACTTTTTATATCATCTTGCAAGAATCCTGTTAGCTCTCCTTGATGTCAACACTTTCTTGGTGGAAAGAGCAATCATTTTTGCACGATCAGTAGCAATCATCACCAGAAGAGCTAAGAGTAACTGAAGTGCATTCTACTGAGTTTCCAAGCCAGCATGCAAGAGTTCTAACTGCAGAGAAAAGCACAGTGTTCCACAATGAAATGAGAAGTCTCATGTTAGAAACACATTGCTTGACAACTATCTCAAGAAAAGGAAAATGATCCAAGTAATTTTTTCTTCTACATTTTTGAAAAGAAAACAATAACAAAAGTAACAACAACAACAACAAAAACAACCTAACAACAAATGAAGTATTGACACATAGATATTGATTTAGTGAAAGCAAATGAGAGAAACAACAGCAAACAGTGCAGAACTTAAGAAGGGTACAAGAATCCAGGTATACCAGCGCCGGGGTAGGAATATTTTCTTTGGGGCTGGTTACCACGTTGGCTTTGTTGTTTATCTGTGGATATGCAGAAAATAGAAACAGAGATGCCTTAATCTTCTTGGTAGCCAATGTCTACAAGTAGCATGTCTACATGCGAATACAGACATGAAAATAAAGAGCCACTGGAGGTGGGTGGGGAAGACTGCAATGATTGATATGAATGGAAGAGCATGTCTTGTCCCTGAAGTTCACACGCAGCCTGGGCTCCTTTTGTGCAAGAATGAGACCAGCTATGACTGATTTGGGTGTGCCTCCCCCACCCCCGAGGGGCTGCAGAGTATGATGAGGCTGTAGCCATTTTCATACTCTCCAAGTAAGATCCTGTTTCCAAGTTTCCAATTATTCACTGCTATGAACACATTCCTTTATTATCTTCTTCTTCTTCTTTTATTCTCCATCCTGAAGTCACACACAGACCATCTTTCCCTGGGGAGCTATCCTTACATTGTTTACTAGATATCCAATTAAAATTGGCTCTTGTGACAAAAGTCAGGCATTAAAGTGTTTTATAGAAAATGGTAAGCTTGTGTGTCCTTTAGGGATGAATCTTCTCTGATTAAGTGAGAGAAATCAAGCTGCATTCTGTAGCCTGAGTGTGAAAGGACTTTCTTGTCCATAGTTGCCTGAAGGACATTCCTCAGCAATTTATGATATTCCATTACTTTTGCCTAGTAGGACCAAAGCCTTTCAACAACATAGGTGAGTTTATCCTTAAAGGAGATGTGGTTAATAACATGGGAACCATGTTTTGAAAGAAGCTCTTGGGGCCAATAAATATGGCAATGGCTACAGGGAAGATTCTGCGTAGACATGCTGGAGCTTGGAACTCTATTGAGTTTGGGAGTAAAGAAATAAAATACTGGCATGTAATAATCGACATTATTTTAGTTCCTTGCATAGCATATCAATATAGTTATCAAACATAAACTGAAATTCACATTCATTCTTGCATATCAAGTTATGTAGGCCATTTATATTGGATGTTTTCTTCTAAAGGGATACATCCAAAGTTTTAATATGAATGTAAATACACCTGTGAACTTACAGAGGGACATGGACTGCATATAAAATGGTTATTTACAAGTGATTACCCTACAGGCTGTTTTGGGGATGTCATTGAGAAGAAGACAGAAGGGAACAGAAATTTACTCAAGTATATGCTTGGCTTTTGTTTTCATTAACCTTTGTGTGGTTGTAGGTAAGAGCACTATTTAATTAGTTATAAGATAGTGCTCTGGATATGCAGGGTGAAAGTGTTAAGAATTCCCTTTAACTAGATACATTTTTAAGATTAGTCCCTTGACCTGTATTTTAAAAATAGTTTTGGAATTTTTTTCTTTAAATCAATTGAATACAAAATGTGTACAGCAGCCAAAAAGAGATGGGAGGTAAGGATCTAAGGTGGCATGCTACAGACAGATCAGAATATGCTCATGTGTTATAAGCTGTGTTAGGCATTAGAGGGATGCTTACAGATGGCTTTCTGTTCAGGAAGAGTGCATAGCCACCTTTTGTCCAGTAAGAAGACATTTGTAATTACTTAATGTGTGTAGGGTTTATCAGTAGATGCAAACAAGTGAAATAATCTAGAGTACTGTTTTTCCTGTTTTGAAAGGACTTTTCTCCTATGATATAGGTGCCAAGAACTGCCTTGTTTTAGTGAAAATGTGATTCATTTGTATCTAAATGCACACAAATTTATCAGCTAAAGTGCATGACTACTCTAACCGTGGTCCACATTCATACATGAACAACACACACACCACCATGTTTTGGAGGTATATACAACATTACTTCAAAATAATAAGTTACTTCTAAGTAAAGTGCAGTAGAGCTAACTTTCAGAGCCAGTTATCAAGCACCATGTTCAACCATAGTTGTCTTTTAAGTGTACATGTTAATTAATATACTTTACATCATGGAAGCAATGTATTTTCCTTGTCTGAAACCTGAATGCTATCAGATATTTAAATGATACAGCATTACTCTCAGGAGGCATGAAAAAGGTGTTGTATTTATTCAGTTAATACATACTCCTTTCAAAGAAGCTTAGCTAGAATGGGCCCATGCTGAAATCACTTTCACATTATTTGCAAAGTCATGGCAAGTATATTAAGTTATGTCTGAATTAATTTAGTGGTTATGATTATGATTTAAGAAATAACCCTACAGCATTTCTTCCTGTATGAGTAAACATTCATTCCGTCCTGGTTTCTTTATTTTCAAAGAGAAAATTCGGCTTTGTTCTCACAGATGATCAAACTTAATAACAGCTTACGGATAAGGGTTCAACTTATTTACCTTAAAAATTCTACCACAGAAAAACAATGTAATGTGAAAGCGGATGAGCATGTTATGAGTGCCGATTAGCGCTGGCCTATGATGTTCTTACACGTTTTCTACTTCGTTAACTTAGATAAATGAGACTATTTCATTTCTAAGTGTATATTTTTCCCAGTAGGAGAAATCTGGCAGACACAGATCCTCACCATCATCTGAACACTCGAACTGGACTTCCTTTTCTGAATTGACCAGTCAAAGAGAAAGGAAGAGAAAATAAAAATGTGACCATAGCATGGAATACATAATAATTTTATTGTTGAAGAGGTGGAGTTGGATGGCTGTGTTTTTGTATCAGGATAACAGAATAACTGTCTATTGGACCTGTGAGCTCTCCATTACTGGGCAGTACAGAAAACCCAGTAGGAAACATTTGGAAAATTAAAAACACTCATTTTCACCAGTGTCACGCTGTGGAAAGGACAGACATCCATTGCCATTATTGCAACCTATAATTAGTGAAATAAGCAGACAGAAGGTACATTTAGCTTGAAGAACGGGAAATGGAGAACTAGAAAGTACAGGGCATAGTGACCTCAGAGCTGGAAATTCTCAAGTCACATACAAACAGGTGGTGACGCAATGACTCCACATGAATGTAGGGACCAACCCACAAAAGATTTTCTACATTGCATTTTTAAATATGAACTGTCCACCTGATTGGGTCCAGTTCAATGGTTAGAATATTAATTGATTCTCAAGAATGTTGACCTGTGGAGGGATGTATGCATCTGCCATTAGAAAAGAAAGAAAATGGTTAACAAGACATTAACTGATATTCTGGAAGGATAATAAAAATTATAATGCAAATAGAAGGTTACACTCTATTAAAGATATTATCAATTGAAAGAAAATTGTATTATATTGATTAGAAATCCAAGAAAGTGAAAATATTTTGTTGTCATCTTTCTTGGAAGCTTTTCCTAGTATCTGTACAGAGTAAACACCCTGAATACATCTCTAATCCTTATGGATGAATCACAAGGGAGTTCAGGACTTAAAAATATAAACAAATAAACTGCCCAAATAGGGCACTTAATCAATGATGTCTTGATTTCTCAGATTGACTGAGTTTGTTCCCAGGTCTTGGTAGGCTTCAAGTGCACATCATAATTACTCAGAAAAGCATTTGGTGTTTGTAGATTCTTAGGTCAACAGAGTGACTTGGGACTGTGGAAAAGTGGGGAGGACATAGACATGTAGTATGCATATTAAAAATATTATCTTTCATAGTTAATATATAATCTAGTGAAAGGATTGGATGTTGGTCAGCATAAGTGATAATCATGTTTGTGCATTAAATCATCTCGTGCTTCAGCCTGCACCCTTTTGGAAACAGCAAAGTACAGATGCTCTACTTAATTGGGATGTGCAGGCAATACTTAAAACCCTCCCCAACATCTGAAAGTCAGAGACAGTTTAAGAGAGCCACTTAACTTACCTTTACTCCATCCGGTTTCTTCAACAAACTCTTGGCTGCTGTAAAATGAGAGTAAAATCTTTTCAGCGAGTAATCCACAAACCCCACAGTGAAATGGCAAATCAAGTTAGCATCTCCTGCCACCTTTGCTGAGTTATGGCCAACATAAACCAAACCATCAAGATCACACTGATGAGCACGAGCTTACAGGACACTGAAATACAGTATCACTTTTCTGGTTTTGCCACAGCAAATTTAGAAATAAATTCTTACATAGTTCATGGCATGAAATTGAACACTTTGCCAGCTGTGCATCTGACTTTATGTCACTGTTGATATTGAAAAGGATACTGGAACTTTCACTGGACCATCCTTCATAATCCAGAAAGTTGGTTTCAGTCTCCAGACACCAGCCGACAGACCCATTACATATTCATTCACACCATGTCTGTTGACCATGTTAGGTCTGCCACTGAAGCCCCTCTTTCCAGAGGTTGGAATCTCATTCACAAAAATTTGCTCTGGCTGAACAATGCCTTCTCTATATTTTTGAAATCAGACAAGTTTAGATGGATGGAAAATACAAGTATCTGTATAAAATCAAATGGTACTTTATTGACCAGGAGCAAATTTTTTAAATGCTTAGCATATGATAATAAAAAATGCATTCTGTGTTCATTTAGACTTCAAAACCAGAATACAAAGATGTCTTAAACAAAGGTCTTTGCACTGAAAAGTTAAAAACCATAACATCTGGAACAAGAACTAAAAACTAAATGAAATCCTTAAGGTGGGGATTCTCACAGAAAACTTCCTTCCTTTCTCCAGGGTGCTTAAGCAATTCATTGCATTATTAACATATTTCTTCAATCAAGTAAAACTAGAAAGCATCCCTTTAAAAGTGTGTACATACACAGTGAACAGCCACTATAATGACAAGGATAATTAGTACACTGGTGTAGAACACTCACAGATATGGAGGACAAAGTACACAGTTCTGTTTAATGTTAATAGACACAATTATGCACACAGAGCATGATATTTGAAAAGAAGCACCTAGCTGTAACGAAACCACATGAACATTTAATTTATTTAAAGTTCTTTATGATGTTATTTCAGTTTCCAATTTGGAAACATTTTGCATTTACTTAAGAGACACAAATATTAATTTTATCTGGTTTTTGGCAACAAAGCTCTTAATTTTTTATTGATAGAGATTACTGTCCAATAGTTGCCTTAGAACGATTTGTCTGTCATTGAACAGGAACATTAATGAACTCTTGTGGTAGTTAAGAGGTTAGAAAACAAACAGAATAATTTGAATTGCAATAGCAAGCAAAAAGAAGACAATGATTTGGGGTAAGAAGCGGCCTGGCTTGGGAGATGCAGAGCCATCCCTTGTGTGACTACTACCTTACCTCACAAGAAATACATTCCACATTCAGGGAGAAAAGAAGAAATAAAAACAACTTTATAACCACATACTTAATGGACAGGTTACTTTAAAGAGTATATTTGGCAATGAATAGAATGAATAAATAAGATACTCCAAACTAAAATGCAAGTACAAGATGTAATGAGAAGATAAAACTGACTCTGATTATTCAGCTGATTGAGAAGTGATGAGTAAAAATGTTTATTTTTCATGCAAAAACATTCAGAGACATTACCAAATCCAAATATTAGTCATGGTTTTTTAAGTATAAAGAATGGTGAAAAAACACAGGAGGTAAACCAAAGACTCAATTTATATTTAATGGTGTACTGAAAACTTTAATAAAATATATAATTTCAAGTCTAGAAAAATCTTTGAAAAGGCAGTTCTTTAGCAATATATACTACATACATCAAATCAATATTTCTAGTGATTCACTGAGTACTAGGCCACAGTGAAATATCTATTTAGTTTAAGGTCATGCATATTGGCTACTGCTTGATGAGCTGGCATTGAGCTCACCCACATAAATGTCAACCACATTAACCAGGTATTTACAAAACAAGTAACTCGACAAAGGCAGCAGCATGGCTCATTAGACCAAGCACATCAGACAGAACACATAACATGCTGGGCAGCACAGCACCTGAATGTGCTAGCACTGTGCTAGCATGGTGTGATTGCTGCTTACCAACTCATATTGTTTTGAAGTGGGAGGGAGGGCTGACCTGCTATTAGAGGTCTAAGCAGTAACTAGGGACTGGCTGAACAATGTCTGACACTTATATCACAATGGCTGCCTGATTATCACTTTAAATTTCTGGATAGGCAAAATAAAGTCAGAGCAAGCCATTGAATGCTGCATGTCACTATGCAAAAGCAAAAATGGTGTTATTCTTGACAACTGTTCTAAGATTAAACATCTAAACTATAAGGTTGTTTTGTTTTTTTAAACATGGTCTCACTATGTATCTTGGTTGGCCTAGAATTCTCTATGTAGAGCAAGCTGGCCTTGAGCTCACAAAGCTTCTTCCTTTGCCTCCCGAGTGCTGGACAAATGAGATGCACCACCTGATGGCCTGTCCACACATTGCATTTATCAAATGTAGTTTAGTTGCTGCTTCAATCCATTCCATATGTCTGGTTTGCACTTACCAATATTTGGCTTTTGAATGCCTATTACTTCTATATAAGCTATAAATGAAGGCTCCCAAACTTAAAAATATTTTTTCTGAAAGTAACACACATGTTGCCTCCATTCTGGAGAGTCAGTTTTAAGAAACAAACAAACAAAAAACCTTCTTGGCTGAGTTTAGTTCATATGCAAGTCTTTCTTCTTTTTTCCTACTATTCCCTCCACCCCATTCTATCATTTTGAGAAACACTATTATTGCATGCTATCCCCATGTGCCCATGTGGTAGATCCTCTTTACTTCCTCATTAGACAGGTTACCCCTTGTAATTAGTCTTAAAATGTGAAGAGACTACCTTAGTTCAAAAGGAATTAGGCCTATGGGAATGGGGCTCCATTCCTGTTAAGTCTTCTTATTACAATGTCTCATGGTAATCAGGAAAAAAAGTACCCTCGTGATTATTTATGAAAAATCAATCTATAATAAATTCTAGGTTTGAAAATTCTCAGCTTTAAAATGATACAAACTTATCATACTTGTATGACACCAGCATTTGACAAGTGGGTGTTCAGTCTTCATGGAGTCTTACAGACAGCCTCTCTCTCTCTCTCTCCATACATATGTATATATGTATGTATGCATGCATATGTGTTGTGTGTGAAAACTATTTGTAGTTACTAGACCTTCTAAATCCCCTTAAAGATACAATTAAACAAAGACTTGAGAAGGGCTGAGGACAAAGAGCAGAGTTCAAATGTGTATACCTGAAAAATTTCTTGTAGCCAGCATAGTTGTCAAGATGGCACCCTATCAAAGAAACAAGAGAACAAGATCACAATCACCTCTGCAAATCTCTGACCTAATAACATAGCATGTAGCAGGAACTAAAAATCTGATCTCCTGGTTTTATTTTCTGAGGGGATTTTTTTTTTTTTTGGTTTCTTGAGAGCCCTAGCCTGTGGCTCTCAGGGTGTTAGGACAGCTCTAACTTGTCTGAGCCAAATTTAGATCATCATACTACCCAGCTGCTTCCTCTGAGGGAGAAATCACATACTGCCATTACTACCATATCCAGCCCACTTCTAATCCCGGACTTCATAATGGGGAACCCTAAGTTTCCCTCAGATCCAGGAGAACTGACTATTGAGATCTGCAATATTAAAAGCTGTTGTAAAATGCCTCCTTACAGTACGCTTCTTCTCACCTCATCAAAGCAACCTCCCTCAACAATGTCCAATGTCTTACCTTCAGTTTCCTTCTAGCATTGAATTTCTTCAAGCAGTCTACAGTCTCCTGCCTGTGCATCATGGAAGCCACAGTAGAGCGTTGCTAGAAGAGGAGGGGAAAGAGTGATGTGAGGATATTTAATACACACCAAGGGCAAGAAAATGTCTCATCCAATCTTTCCTAATGGTGCCTGCATGCGTGGAGTCAAACGTGCAAGCATCTACTTGCCAAAGTTACCCACAAAAAAGCATGATCTTATAAAGACTATTAGTGATAGGTCTCAAACACTGATAAGTAGAGGGTACAAAAATGGAGATCATTAACCACTCAGATCATCATTTCTGTAAGTGTTTCATCTCATTTTTATTAGAAAACCTTCCATTCACTCAGCATTGTATCATTACCTAAACATTTGACTCTCAACTCTAGGAACTTAGAGGAGTTTTTAGATCCCTTTACAATTTGCTTTCTTCCTCCTTATGCATTTTACAAGACAGACTACTGTGGCCAAACTGTATCTCTTAAAACAACGTGTAGCTTTTAAACCTGGCATGTTTCTAAAACTGTTTAAAGATAAACAGTTGGACTCTGTACATTTTTTTCCTTGTTGGATGCAGTAAGCCTTGGTGTCACTTTCTTATTCCCAGCTCATGAGTCTTACCTATAATCAGCATGGCAACCACTCATCCTGTTACTGCAGACAATACCTAATTGGCCACTCGTACAATTTTGAGTTTGCTATAGGCAACGTTGGCTTTCACTATTACAAAATGCATTTCTTAAATACCTTGAGTCAAAAATTCATTAAGCTTTATCTTCTTGTTTTTGTAAGATTATTTGAAATCTATGAAAAAGGACTAAGAGCTTATTTTTCAGTTTGGCTCCTGGGACATATGGGAAAGCAACTTACACATATCCATGGGTGTTTTAGAGCCTCGGAGGCTGTGATGCGTTTGGCAGGGTTGATGGTAAGCATTTTGTTGATGAGGTCTTTGGCTTCAGGAGTCACTGTGTCCCATTCTGGTGATGGAAACTTCGAAGATAGAAATTAGCAAAAAAAGTTTGTAAAAAAGGACACACAGACCAAGCATGTTGGTACAAGTATATAATCTCAAAACAGGGAAGGCACAGATCAGGACTTCTAGGTAAGCCTCGGCTGTACCTCAAGCTCAAGGATAGCCTGATATGCATGAGGTCCTGCCTTAAAAAACAATGGCACACACACTCAGAGTCAAATAGAAAAAAGCAAAACATATTCCTCATTTCTGTAAGCAGTGCATTGCTTCACAAAATTTCACATTGTATTAAAAAAAATCAATCAGTTCATACCAACAGCTAGTATATACAAAAAGAATAACTGACACAATAAAGCTGGTCACGGCTATTTTCAGTTTGGTCCACTGGCGTTGACATTAGCACATATGAAATATTAATGTGTGAATTTCTAAAACACTTCACTAGATATAATGCGTGCAAGATAGCCATGATCATAAGTGGGTGCTCCATCAGCAGACTGGAGAAGAAAATTATATTAAACTCTCATAATCTGTCATTCTACCCAATGAGAAACTGTTTCTTATCATACAGTGGATTTGAAGAAGGATAGATTGTACATGTCAATTGGCTGGACAGTGATTGTATCACGAAGCAGATCCAAAGCATTCCCCTAAGCCAAATTTGCACCCAAAAAAGGCTGTGGTCACTGTTTGGTCATCTGAGGCTAATCATATATCCACCATAGCTTCTTGAATCCCAGGAAACCATTACATCTGAGAAGCGTGTTCAGAAAACAAATGAGACACACCAAAAACTGTAGTACCAACAGCTGCCCAATTCTTTATGACAACACCCTCACACACATGTCACAAATGTTTCAAAATTTGAATGAACCTGGGCTATTAAGCTTTACCTCATCTATCTCAGTCACCTGGACTCTCCGCAACTGACCACACATCTAAAGGCATCTAAATAACACTTCTATGATCAGCAGGATGCAGACAAGACAATGATTTCCAAAAACTTACTGACTCCTGAAGCACAGATTCTTACACAATGGAAATAAATTTATTTCCGTCAAAAACATTACTTGTAATAGCTCCTATTTTGAATAATAATGATGTATTTGAGTTTTAGTTATAATGACTAAAATGGACTGAAATTATCAACCCCTTTCCACCAATCCAGTGCTTATCATAACTGTTTTTGATAGTCTTCCTTGCATATAAGTATATTTTGGACTATATATATATATATGTATTAATCTCACATTATTTGCTAAATGACAGAATATAACATTATTATAAAAAATAAGAGCAATAACCCTTGCCCTTGGCAGTAAACCAACCAACTGCATCCAAAGCCATATGAATACTTATTTCATACATCATAAGCTCCAGCCTTGATCTGTTGATACAGTCTATGCTGGTCTTCATCCCAGAAGGGTGGGTACCCCACCAGCAAGATGTAGAGGATGACACCTGAGGAGATCATAAGAGATAATGAGTAAAATAACAGAGAGAAATACACTGGGGATGACTTCAGGGAGACACACTGTGACCTGTCCTGAAGCCCTCCCCCCTTGCTACAGGGTGACCTCTCTTATGCCCTCCCATGTGCTCCCCTCTGATGCTTTTCCAGTTCACTCCATTGAACAAAGAATTTTAAAGAAGCAGGTAGGGCAACACCTAAAGATGGAATATTCCTGTCAATTTGGAAGACTTCCATATAAGTTCTATATATGTTGATGTTTAACTTTCTATTATCTACTTCTTATTGCCTGACAATGAAGACCTTTGTTGAATGTGCCATCCTGGTTAAACTTCATGCTCTAAATAAACAGTCCCCATTATAATATAGATAATATATAAAAAGAATCACTTCAACAATCTGAGTTTTCAGTACTAAAGTATTTTCTATCAAATAGCCAGATCTCACCAAAGAGGCATATATTAAGGGAAAATGAAATGAAAGGGAAGAGGAGGGTGAAATTGCATGCAAAATCCAAAGTCATAAGCACATAGTTGTAATACAATTTGAGTTTATTGCAAAATTTTGTAACTAAAGGCATTGTTGGCACAGAAAGGGGACTGGTTCCAGGAAGACCCTACAGATACCAAAGTCTGTGCATACTCATGTCCATTCAATAGAATTGTGGAATTCACTAATCTATGCAATTCTGTGGATTTGAAAGAATCTATAGGTTGCTTAACCTAAAAAACCACACAAATGCTCTGAAAGAGTTTCTGCGCTACATGGTTAAGAGATGAGAAACACATCTGTGAATATTCAATGATGCATTTGTATTTTCCCCCTCAAGTATTTTATACATACTTGGTTGAGTCTGTGGATGGAGAACCCACCTTCCAAAGGGTAACTTCACTAATAGTAAATATGTGATTCAACTTTCAAATTAAAAATATAACCATAGACTTCAAATTTTTCCTGAAGCCATATATGTATATAATTCTCCTAAAAATAGAATTATGGCTCCATTTGCCTTTGAATATCCTTCTGTTACTTTCCCCACGCATCCGACCTGCTAAGGTCTTTGCTTGTTTTGTAGCAGATCTCCTGGAAGAAGGTCTGAGGTTCCTCTGACTCACCTGTGAGCTCTACCCTTGTTGATTCCTTAAGCCTGGGAAGCCCAAGAAAGAAGAGTAGGGCAGATGAGCCTCTGCCCAGATGCCACTGGACATTCATTCCCACAGGGGCTGTGGTCCCTTGGTTTCCAGAGCTCTTGGTTGAGGAAGTCTAACCCTGTTCTTGTCAATCAGTCTGGATTTGTTTATACAAAACTCATCATCGAATTAAAGCAGCTTTGAAGAAACAGCTTAATCTCATTGAACTTTCATAGCCTAGTTCAGGATTATAGTTTGAAATAGATTCTTAGAGTCTAGACTGTGGCTAGAGAATATTTCAGTGGTGTAGTTATTGCCTAGCATTTCTGAATCCCTGGCTGGGTCTGATCCTTAGAACTGCAAAATAAGCAAACAAATGACCAAATCTACTCAGGAAAAACTAACTAAAATACAACCCCCTATAGAATCACATGGCAGGATGAGAGTGGTTATCTTGAATGTTACCTGGTGCCTGGGTGTTAGAGTATTAGTCCCCGAAGGGCTATTACTAAGAGGTAAGGCCTACAGAGATCTCCTAGTGATTGAGTTATTTTGGATTCTGGTCGTGTCTTCTTATTTATTCTCTGGTCATTAGGTAAGAGGTTTTGTTTTGCCATGTGGTTTGGTCATGAGCTCACCCTGTGAAACCACAGGCAGGCCCAAATGCTTTGGAGACCAATGTATCATGGACTGTAACTTGAAAAACTTCAAGTCGAAATAAACCTGCCATCTTTACAAGTTATCTGAGACAATTTGTCTTAGCTCAACACTGAATGAAATACTTTAAATAATACTCATTTTAATAAACTATCATGTCTTACATACCAAGACTGAAAACTTATTTTATAAATTGATATGCTATAGACTTAATGTGCATTAATTTAATTTCCATATTATAGTTTATTATCTGATGGAGCAGATGATGGCCATGGTGATGACCAGTAACTACCTATTTTAGTAGGATGAGTTGAAAAGAAACCCATTTTAAGTGGTTTTAGTTCTCACCCATGGTTCAAGAAATGAAGGAAAACATTTGCTTTGTAATGCCTACAGTGTGTTATGTATCTGGACATTTTTTCTTATAAACATGGAGTTAAGTTGTTATAAAATGATTAAACATTCTCACAGTGGAGTCATTTTGCACACAGACTCAGGCTTTTCTTTCCTGTAGCATTTGTATGGACCTAATGGACGGCATTACTCCTTTGGGTAGTGGGAGCCCAGAGAGGCCTTTTGCCCAGGTGAGAGCTGCCAGTGCCTAACTATACACACACTGTTCAGCAGTTTCCTCAAGACCGAAACACTCCACACTGTAGGGAGGCTTTCCAAGACTCAGGAAGTTCTACATCAGAACTTTCCATCCCAGAAGACTCTTTGATACTCAGGAAGAAAACAACGCACAAATCTTATCTAAGTGCCTAAAACTTAACAGGTTCTCAAGGTACCACTTTCACCAAAGTTATATAAGCAGTGAGCAAAGCTGTGGAGAGCACTCTCTGGCTTGTCAAGCTGCCTTCACATGGAGTGGAGTCCCGACACTGAAGTTTTTATGAGTTGGGTGGGACTTTGGTGATGCAGATGCTGTTTTTTTTTTTTTTTTTTTTTTTTGACTCATCCATGCTCATGTAAGTGGTACCAGTAATCTCATTGATTCACCACCTTGAACTCTGTTGTGATCATTTCTTTCATTTGTCACTCATGCTATATTTGGGTTGAGTAGAAATCTGTCCAGAAATCTCCACAGGAGGAAAAAAAATCACACAGCATCTCATGATCTAGTCAATTAATAAATGATAAAGGTGTTTGTGCAGAAAATATACTTTTGATATAAAAGCATAAATACTAGAAATAAAAAAATGCTTAAGACTTGAAGGCATAGAGAAGAAAGTACTATTGAGTAACTGACGTGAAATGGTTAACACTTCTTTAAAGTATTCTGTAAGCTTCTTTGGATTTGTTCACTAGAGTTCAAGGGCTTCTGAATTATGCTTCCTTATAGTTCTTTTCTCTGAAGATAAAGAATGGCTAGCAGAGTTGTAGCATAATGAGAATGTTTCTTCATAAGTAACATTTATTACATGTGTTTAATGCATTTCTCCATTTAATCCTATATAGCAGTATATATGCTACTAACAGCATTTTATAGATAAAAGCAAGGAGATTAAGAGGTTGAGTTACTAGCAGGCTTGTCAATGCTAGCACTTCCAAAACTCCCTGTAGGTGCTTTTCCTTTTTGGAAGGTCCCTCCACCTCAGTTAACCTTATCAAGATAATTCCCACATATATAACTGTAGGCCTGTCCACCAGCTGATTGCAGCTCTTGTCAAGTTGACAATTAGTGTGAACACACAATGAGGATTTCAGGGGTGCTCATGTGATCTCCAAATACCAGGTATCTCTCATGACCTTTGCTATTCACTGCCTGGGTATTTTACTAGATGGTATTCTAATTCTGTCTCATTTTTTAAAACTGAAAAACCTTTTCCCATTACTCAATTACCCTAAGGTCTAGTCCATATAGGGAAAGCTGAATAATGGCTCAATCCTTTTGACATTTATTAACCCGTTTAATTAGCCTGCTTAGAAATCACTCATTTACTCTTAAGCATCTCTTGAATTTCAGAATGCTCCTTATATTTTACCAATATAAATAATTGGATTTAATTTTTTGGAGTGCATTTTAATCCAGTGTGCTATTTTTCTTAGAATCCTGTGACTGTTCCATCTCTGGCAGGTGGAAATGAAGTTGGCTCCTGAGTCTTGTAACTTTTTCTTTCATTCTGGAAGGACAGGATACTCCTATACTTTCTCTGACCATATGTGGAATCAGCTAGTACTACAAGGTGATAGGAGAGCAAACAGGGTACAGAGAGTAAGGGTGGTCACATGTGTGTGCACTGTGGAGAGAAACATATACAGAACATGAGTGAAGAGAGATACGGTGGTGGAACCGACATCTAAATGGAGATTGACAAGACTAGCAATAACAAATTAATAACAAACTTGTGAAACAAGAAAGTGATAGGGAAATGTGAAGAAGGCTGTACTAGCCATTACTATGATATTTTAATAAGTTGTATTGTTGTCATACTTTAAATGGATTCTTTTTTCATACAGATACAGTGACATAACTTTCAGATTTGGATTAAAACAATCGCAAATGGGGAAATAATTGTGGTAAGACAATACCCTCTATTATATCTGCATGTTCTGGTGCATCAACACCAGAAGAACTGTTTTAGACACAACTGGCTCCATATAACACAAGCAAATAATGCTGCCCAGTTTTCTTTGGCTTCTGTATTAATTTATGCTTGGAAGATATGAAAGACGTTTGACTCATTAGTTTTGAGAAGCACTGATTACTGATTAGGCAGAAAGCCAACATTATCAAGGACATTCAAATTTTATTTTAATGAAAGCTAATGTTAGAAAAACAATTAAGCCTATAATCACACAAATGATCAAACAGTATAAAGACTGCTCTCATGGAAGGAGAAATGATAGAAAGTTGAGAAGCTGGGGAAAGCAGAGGGAGAAATCATCCAAGACATCTATTTCACCTTGGTAAGTGGAGCCCACTATACTCTGCACCTACAGGAGGATGTGGAAATGTATGATTAATCAGAGGGATAAGCACGGTTCACCCAGATCTTATAATGCTCTAACCAAAAAAATATCAACATATAGTTCAGAGAAGGAAACAGGAATGATGGGTTGAACATGAACTAGAAAAACCAAAGCTAGCAGGATAAAAGTAATTTTCCTCAGAGGACAGAACTAGGAAATAGGGTTGGCAAAGATAAATAATAAACGCAGTATTTGCACAAATAGAAGGTCCAGGTATTTGGCCAAGATGG